GTGTAGCAACGGCGGCATCCCGTGTTACGTCACAGCAGGGGGGGGCGTCATCCATAGCGCAACACGTCACAATATATTTAAATCTTAATTTCGACCATAATTTAATTTAACTAATTATATCTAATACCAACATAACTGGACTAGAAAGCAGATAATACCAAGCGTTTTGTTACCAAGCATAATGTTACATGGTACACAGTCATATTTAAAATATGGATACATATTAAAGACAAGTTCAGAACCTAAGCAGAAACAGTACATCTGATGATCACTCAATGAGGGTCGAAACATGTTGTATTCTTAAGGTTTTAAGATTCTAGTGTATTTTTTTATTGCTCGAGGTGTAGAACTAAGTCCCTTGTACCACCGCCCTTTTGGCCTAGTGTACCAGCCCCAGATGATAGGTGAGGGTGATTATGGAGTAAATGGTGGAAAGAAGATTGGCAGGGGAAACCGAAGTACTCAGAGAAAACCTGCCCCAGCGCCACTTTGTCCACCACAAATCCCACTTGACAGACCCGGGATCGAACCCGGGCCTCCGCGGTGGGTAGCCAGCGACTAACCGCTCGAGCTATGGCGCGGCCCAGATTCTAATGTAAATAATCTATATTTGTATATTTCAATAAGAAATTGTTGTGTCGACCTATGTAAAATGCTCACGGGACACATCAGCTTCTGATTTATACTGGTGATGTAAATCTGTTGGAAGATAACATAAATACTACAAAGAAAAACACAGAAACTCTAACTGATGTTAACAGGGAGGTTGGTATAGAGGTAAACACAGAGAAAACAAAGCGTATGTTGCTGTCTCGTCACCAGAACGCGGGCAAAATAACAACATAAAGATCACTAATCGATCTTTTGAATATGTGACAAATTTACGAGCAAAGTAATTGGTGACGACATAGCAAATCAGCATTTGATTCAGGAGGAAATTAAGAGGAGATTCAATTCGGGTAATGCTTGCTACCAATTAGTCCAGAACCTCCCGTCTGCCGCGTAAAACACTTAGAACTATTCTAATTCGCTTATTGGGGGGGTGGGGTGGAGTCCAGCTGGGTCCACTCAGCACGGCGGCCACTGATTGGCCTATTGTACCTGCCCCGAGTGATTATGATGATGGAGAATTTGGTGGAATGAAGATTGGCAGGGGAAACCGAAGTACTCGGAGAAAACCCGCCCCAGTGCCAACTTTGTCCACCACAAACCTCACTTGACCAGAGCCCGGATCGAGCCCGGACCGCCGCGTTGGGAAGCCAGCGACTTACTTAGAACTGTA